GACATCGAGAAACTTTTCCGAACCCTGAAGCCTGATTCTCACACCTCAAACACCTAAACCCCAAACAGTACAACTCAGGCTCTGAGGCTGTCAAACCTTGAACACCCAGATTTGAAACCCAGATCATCCTGACCACGAAACCCGACACTCCGAGCCCTACTTGAGTTCCGACGTCCGACATGCTCACCGTGAATTCGCGAGTGGTTTGCGGTTCAGGGTGCTTGAAAAGCCTGATATCTTTGCGACGATGATGATGCCACCAGACAGTCAAAAGGTCTCTCACATCACTCGAGAAGCCCTCATCCTGCAGCTGTTCTACGACTCTGTGGTAGTTCACCTCTATTTCTCAACATCTCGTCTAACCGAAAAGCTACAATGCTTCCCATTCCAGACATGGCTTCAGGCTGCCCGCGAAATCCTAAAGTCACGAAAGTGTGTTCAACCGAGAAAGCCTGTCCAAGACAACTTGTGAAAACCCGGGCCGCAAACATGTCGATGCTACATGTTGAGATGAACCCCACACCTTTATGCACAACTCCGTAAACACCATGTCACAACCGAGTAAGTTGAGTGCCAACAGCAACAGAAGATCACCCTGAATTCTCCAGGCCCCGAACACGAAACCATACCTGGACCCTGCGGAGCATACTTGCTTTCGCACCTCAAGCAGAAAAGACGGCTGTAACCCTAAACAAGTAGGTTGTTTTGCGTACAGGAAAGCCTTTTCAACATACCCTAAAACCATACATGCAAAACCCTGGAAGGTCAGCCGCACTGCTGGTATGACGGCTGTGCATCGAAGGACTTCCTGGGATATAGCATGTGGGCTTGGATGGAGTATGGGGACTATGGAGGAACGTTAATACACACCCTAAATCGTAAAGCCTAAAGCGAAGCCTAACAGTTCCGACGGGTAGCATTCTGGCTGGAGGGTTGAGGATTCAGGTGAGCCATATGACCCTTAGTTTTCTGAATCCATTATGAAGACTTGAACTGATCGCAGCTCTTGCAAGCAAAGTGTGTAGAGTCTGAAGCGCCATGTATCCCCAAAGCCAATCATAGCCCTGCACCACCGACCCTGCAGCGCAAACCCTGTACCCTAACTTTCAGACCCTGGCCCAAGCACCTCAAACGAAAACAACTTAAAACCTGAAGCTCCGAGCAACGGATCCTTCACCCACAAGCCTGAAGGTCCCCTTATATCAGGCCCTATATCAGCCAGATGTCTGCTCGCGCCTCACGCGGTCCAAGACCTCCGCAAAGTCCTGCTGCCAGGGAGGCGGAAATCTTCCGAGATGTTTGCGAGATTCGGGCATGGAAGCATGCTGGGTTTCGAGTTCAATGAAGGTCTAGGAACGACGGTATATAAGTGTGAGGTTCAGGCTCCAGTGACTCAGGTCCTTAGAACTGATTCAGGTCTGGGTTCAGGGCTTTAGGCCCTGAGCTTAAGGTTAAGGTTTTGGGCTTACAGCTTTAAGGATGGAGAGTTGTGTTTTTTTGCATTCCGGCCTGTACGCATGATTCCTGTCTCAGTGGCCCGGCTTAGGCTTTAGAGGCATGTCTAGAGTCTGAGAAGGGATCTGAATCGTGAGATCTATCGCAAAGCAGGAGCCCGGGACTGGAATAACAGCAGCTCTATCTGTCTATCTATCTATCTATCTACCTACCTACCTATCTATCTATATACATGCTGTCCCAAAATGGGAAAGTGAAAGTTTGAAATCCTGAGCCGGGCTATATTCAAGTTAACGGAAAACGGCCAAAAGCCATCTCCGCCTTGCCCGATTTGGTAGGGGCACTCAGCCTTAAGATTTGGGTTTTCATCGGTTTTGCAATACAAAAAACGAGTAAAGGTTACTTACTCCACACAGATTTATCGAAGCTCAGTCCTGAATTAAGCAACATTCCATGCTTTTCTTGCGATACGTCTGCATGCCTGTCTATCTATCTATCTATCTATCTATCAATAACCTATATGACTCTATATGTAGGTGCATTTTCTAGATATGAACACACACACACAGACATATATATATATATATAACTAACTTCATAAAGTCTTATTCCAGGAACACAGGTCATTCCATGTAGAAGCTCCCGACAGTCCAAGTCCAAGTATCGTCGTGAATTCTCCGAGACGGAAGGAACTTATACTTTACACTCGGTTCAGGGCTGGGTTAGCGCCAGGACATGAGAGGATGCCGTGCTGGACTTGGAGCTATCTGGAGTGTCCAGCTGAGACATGGCCATGCCCTTCTCTCCACAGCGAGTACTGAAAGGCATCTGGAACGGTTCGGGGGTCCATCTTTCGAGATGATTCAATGCTGATGTCATTTGACTGCTAGGATTTTTGTATGCACGGGTGCCAGGAGCTGCTTGGACGAATAGTGGGATGCAAGCCCAACGCCCCAACACACAAGGGGCTGTAGGATTAAGCTTTCGGGGCAAGGTCCCTGATTTGGATTAGCGAAGAGTCGATGACCCTGAGCCCTAAACATCAAACCCGAAACCTTAAACCGAATCCTGTCTAGGCCCTCACCCTAGTCTGAAGACGATGCCCGGCGGTGGTCCTGGTCAGAAGGACCTGCACCAGGTTTTATGTCCAGATCTTAAGGGTTTAAGATTTATGGGCTTAAGGCTTGAAGGCTCAAAGCTCTGGGGCTTAAGGCTTTGAGGATAAAGGGGTGAGGCTGGCTAAGGGGATTAAGTTCAGCCCAAAGACCTCGTCCGCGCAACTGCTTTTGCCCAGCCCTTTCTAGTCGTGCCGCTTGGTTGGGTCAATATGACTAACCTGGCCAACTGGGAGCAATGCTGTGAAATCTATTCAGGCCGACGATCAAGTCTTTCCCTCAGGCTCCAAGCCATCTCGGAAGACTTCAATCAGAAACCCCAACTACCCAGACCTTCCAATGTCCTTTCTCTCTTGAGCAGCAGTACCGCTGCAGCTTTAGGGCCGCGTTCCGGCTATTCGGGGTTTGAAGCTTCTTGGTAGGAGTTTACCCCACACAAGTCAACCGGCAAAGCCCGATTTGGCCTTGGAATTCTTGCAGTGTTGAGAGAACCTTCTCCACAAGTAGGACGAGCTTGTCACCTCGGGGGTCCCGGGGCTTTGGAATTAGGCTCGTGTTAAACTGAATCACTTCGAGCATAATCCGAAACCGCTCCAGCCCCGGCAACAGCACAGATTCTATCTTCAGGCCGTGTCTGTTTGGGGCTGCTCCCGTCTGCTTTAAGGCCGCAACGTGAAAGTTCTATGAAGCGCTTCCAAAGACACGTATCACAAACCTTTTCACAGCAACGAAGGCTTTTCTCTCACGCCTTCGTGTGTGGTACCAGTGATTGTGGAAAAAGTGTTCCCCTTCTCAGCAACACTTTTTGAAGCAGTATGCCGTACTTACTCTACTTCTACAGAAAAAATGACCCTAAAGCCTGAACTCATGACAGAGCTCTAAGACCTAATCTCGCCTGAACCCCAGATGTCCGAAACCGAAGATTGATAGCTCCTGCTAGGGGCAACCACGCTGCCAGATGAGGTCTGCGGGTCAGGGTTAAGATGAGATCATTAAGGCCTGTCAACTTGAAGATCTTGGT